ATATATAAACAAAATAGGGGGCACAAAATCAGGGACCTTAATACAGATGGTGAAAGAAATTTGGATGTGGTGCAAAGAAAGGGAGATTACTCTAACAGCAGAGCATCTCCCAGGCAAGTTAAATCACCTTGCAGACTGGGAATCCAGGAATACGTCGGACACATCCGATTGGATGCTGGACAGAGACATATTTTCCCAAGTAATAAAAGCCCTAGGCAATTGCGAAATAGACTTGTTTGCAAGTCGCTTAAATTATCAAGTAGAAAGGTACGTCAGTTGGCGACCAGACCCAAATGCTGTGGCTACAGATGCTTTCTCTCTAATTTGGACAAATCTAAAAGGCTTCGCTTTTCCTCCATTTTGCATAATAGGGCGATGTTTGGCAAAAATACAAAAAGAAAAAGCAACAACTATTTTAATCACACCAATTTGGCAAGCTCAGCCATGGTATCCCATGCTTTTAATGATGATGATTGCAGACCCAATCCGTCTACCCAGTTTTCCTCAGATCCTTCGATCATCGACGGGTCAATTCCATCCACTGGCCCAGTCAGGGACCTTTCATCTGGCAGCTTGGAAGGTATCGGGGGACACACAATTACAGCAAATTTATCAAAAGCAGCTGCAGAATTATACTCCAAAGCATGGAGACCTGGTACCAGAGCTTCTTACAAAAGCGCCTGGAAACGATGGTCTAGCTGGTGTAATTCTAGGCAAATTAATCCTATTCAGACATCTGTGGAAAATATAATAGAATTTTTAACAACACTATTCAATGAGCAAAAACAATATCGCACTATTAACACATATCGCTCTGCAATTTTCAGAGGTCATATCTTACTGAATAGTATTTCAGTGGGCAAGCATCCAGCTATAATCCATCATATGAGGGCGATATTCAATGTTAGAACACCTTTACCAAGATATCAATCATCTTGGGATGTTGACAAAGTTCTTAATTGTATCACAGAATGGGGTGACAATTCCTCCCTGTCCATGAAAATATTAGTTCAAAAGTTGACAATGTTACTTGCTTTAACATCTGCAGGGAGGGTTTCTGAAATTCATAAATTAAATTTAGATTTCATGTGTGATAAAGGTGATCACATTATTTTCCAAATACCTTCCCTCACTAAAACATGTAGGCCAGGTAAAACAAAACCAGAATTAAAGTTTTATAAATTTGAAGATAATAATCTTTGTGTCGTAAAATGTTTAAGAAAGTATTTAGAACTGACTGAAAAAATCAGGGATACCAATGATAGATTAAATAGAAATTGGTTGTTATTAAGTTTTGTAAAACCTCATCATCCTGTAACCACTAGTACATTAGCTCGATGGTTAAAGTCAGTCATATCCTCAGCAGGCATTGATACAACAAATTATAAAGCTCATTCAACAAGATCAGCTTGTCCATCTAAAGCTTTCAGAGCTGGTGTGTCATCATCAGAAATCATGAAACAAGCTAGATGGTCAAACCTCACAACTTTTTCAAGATTTTATTATAAACCACTGGCAGGAAGTGACTTTCAAAAAGCAGTTTTAATCAGGTAATAACTATATATTATCATGAAGCTTTAAACTAAACACTAGAATATCTTGTCGGAGGTTATGAAATAAAATTTTAGATTTCATAAGCACACGAAGTGTGCGTAATGGAATCCTAATTTTATAAATAACCGAAGACAAGATATGAAAGTGTTCCCGCCCTCCCTTCCCTAAGTGTAATTTTATAGGGCGCATTATTCATAAAAATATGTATAAACATTTATAATCTTACACTGCTTGTCTTCGGTTGGATATATTTCTTATAAAATTCAATTTTATTTTCAGATAAGAAATTTCCGTTGGTGGATTTCATTATACAAAAGATCAAGATCTGGTTGCTATTTTAAAACATATTCCTGCCATTGTTTGTTGTGCCAAAAGACACTGACGTGCCAAAAGACACTGACTGTTACATTTATTTGTCAATGTACACTGTTTTATACCTGTTCAAAATGTAAACTTATTAGTTACATGTATATAAAGTTTTGTACTTTCTTATTATAGTATTTATTTTATTTTGCATAGACAACTATGGTTATATAGTTTAGAGTAATTCAAATCTTCTTCAGCTGGTAATGCTTAAGCTCGCCAAGTTGGAGAATGAAACCAAATCTTTGGAACAAAGCTTTTAAAGGGCTACGGTGCTGCCATCTATCGACGGCCAAGGGGAGTAAACACTTTTATATCTTGTCTTCGGTTATTTAAAAAATTAGGATTCCATTACGCACACTTCGTGTGCTTATGAAATCTAAAATTTTGCTATCTCCTAAATACATATACAAGATTCTAACAAAACAACCGATTTGAACCCGGAAATTTTATAGTAGAACTGACGATACTGCATAAATAAGATGCTAAGCGATGTCCAATCCTCACGAGTTAAGTCAATATCAACTATCGTTATATAATCTAAATAATAATAATAATTCGCTAAAGTCTAGTTTATTTTTATATTGAAGTTGATATCAAGCGGTATCCAATTCTCACTCGTTATGAAACCATCACCTCGCTTTAAACAAAAAAAGGTAAAAAGTTACTATGGGCTATTTAATTCCTAGATCTTTATAAAATGTAGCGATGAGCAAAATATTGAAATATATGATTAAGTGAAATGTTATAGAAGTTATTGTAATTAAACTACGAGACATCGGATTATACGTCTATTTTGGCCAGACGTTGATACGAATTTATGCATTCCGCACAGCGCAAATCATTTGTCCTTTTAAATTATTTGATTCGAGCGTCACTGATGAATCCGTTGAAGACGGCATAGAAAAAGTTTATCATAGTATTTATGATGAGTTTATTGACAAGGGTATTTACTTCTTGTCAAAATAGATAGTAACCAAGGCAATCACATTTCTATACCCCAGTCACCATTAAAAATGTCTTAAATAAACACCGAAGCAGTAAGTAACCTACATGTATCACATACAGTTCAAAATAGTATGTATAGGAAAATAATTCTGTAATAGAATAAGATACTAGTAGATAGGAACAAAATTTCACAACGTTTCTGGGAATTTGAATTATATATGATTCAGTTTTGACGGTTGTGTGAAAAATAATGTCTAACGTGTCACCGTACTATGGCAAGATCGTGATTAAGATAACTGTTAACCTGCCGATCAAGCCATTCTGTGTGGTTATGAAAATTGTGACAGATTAATAATTTATTGGACGGAACGCGTACGGACAAGAGGACCCTACTCCTTATACCTATTTGGGAGTATATAATATAAAATTCATAGTATAAAAAAATACCAATAGCTCCCTAATCTGGGTACGAATATTACTTTATTCTACTAGAACACGCCAACAACATCGCGGATCCGTGATTCAATTAAAGTGGGTTTTGATTCACTTGTACTAGTATATGTTTAATTAAATAGTATTCAAATACGGTTTTTACATTTCTGCATATTTTCACGTCACACACAGTCATGCCGGCTAACAAATTGGACCTCGTTTTATTAGTAGTATAGATACAAATTTAAAATCTTAAAGTCGTTCAAAGGAAAAAAGGAAACATTCTTCCCTCTTCTGATACATTCTCTCAGTCACCAACCCTATATATATACAAATATATGTACATTGTCGGAAAATATAAAATTTATTTGTATGAGCTTTATAAACAGGACGAAAAGCGAGGCTCGCCGAGCTTTTCTCCTTTTTCGCAGCGAGTACAAATAAATTTTATATTTTTCCGACAATGTACATATATTGTTTTTATCCTGAAATTTACACCCAACACTTGAAACTTTAGTTGTTACAATCTAAATCAATGTCTCTAATTTTTCAAAGAAATCGACATAGTTTAAATGCGGACCGCGAAGAGGACCCCTAAATGAACTGGTACGCAAAAAGTAATATCCACATTACAGCTTGCTCAACATGGAAGAGGGGTAACAGGAGATTTTATTTGTACAAGTACAAATAAAGCAAAAATTCATTTGTGTACCTGTTATTTGTACAATAGTTGACTGATTGCAGGATAAAACCTATAACCGCATGCTTCTTTAAAACTCTGAAACCGCCTCGATGTTCTCATGGTGGCTGTGTTCGAGAGGTCGTGGTTTCGAATCAAACTGGGTTAAATCAAAGTCTTTAAAATTGGTATTTATTGTCCACTCGGCATTAATGAGTAAGAGCAAAGACTGGTCGGCTCGGAGTCTAAATGATAATCATATGTCCCAGTTCTGCCAACTTTTAATAATGCAAATGCGTGAGATTTGGCCAAAATCGTAAAGATCAAAGAGAAAAAACAATAGATCAAAGGAAAATGCCGCCAAATAAGCATGAAAATGCGCGAGTCTCACGCTAAATGCAATAGACTTGGCAGCCCTGATGTCCGGGTAAGCTGTTTGGTGTGAACCAAGGCTCAGTGGTGAAGAGTACTTTGACCTATAATGGCTTACTTTACTAAAATGTGACTTGGATGGAGAGTTGTCACATTAGCACTCATCTTCTTATATCTATGTCTTCTTGCGGACTGTGACCTTGTGAGCTAGGACATTCAAAATCCGGCTGAGCGTGTATAGGTCTATTTATAGTACCCAAGGCAGTGTTACTACATTGTAGTTATATCGCGTTAACATGTTCCCGTCCTGAGGATGCATCTTAACTTGCTGGATGTTAAGCATCTGTCCATTATCATCATCACCATCATCATCATCTTTAAATTTTTGCTCATTATTTGTAAACAGGTCTCAAATAATTTGTGTTATCCATGCGCGTCATCTAAATATAGTTCATTCACAAGTAGAATAGATTTGTATTAAAACAAGTAGATAAACAAAACTCATAGATACAGATTTTATTTCCATTTGATATTATACTGCTGTTTTCATATAATTTATCAATTTGTCCTAATTATGAAAAAAATCCGAATATTAAGGAAACAATAATCGTGCCACACAGGGTGCTACTTTCTCCGAAAATATCTTCACAACATATCGTGGTAGTTCACAAGAAGAACGAATTTGTATTTATAATCACAATAAACAAAACATTAGGTCAAACATCACAGGTAAAATTTATATTTTGTACTCCGTTTACCTTTAAGGGGATCCTGTACCTAAGGGTTAGAGCTAGGTCTGTGTTCATCTTAGTTCCAGGGCTAATGTCATGTTTATAGAAGAGAGGCGAAAGATACAAAAGGGACATTTAAACTCATAAGTCGAAAATTAACTGACGACGCCATGCTAAAATATAGAAAACTAAAGACTAAGCTACACGGACTCCACCAAACATTGGCATAGGCGGATCCAGGGGGAGGGGTGTGCCTGTAGGGCCTGCAACCCCCCCCCCCCCCCTTTTTAGTGTGAAAAGTTTGGTTGATTATATAGGGAATCACTGAAGTAGCCCCCCTTTAAGGTCAGTCAAAAAAGGCTGTTTACAGAAAAATCTGTGCAACTGGTAAACCATTTTACTTATATGACAAAAAAGAATAAGGTGAATTGAGAATTGTATTGTACCATCTTCTGTTGTGATGAAAAATAATCATAATATCCGAAATGCGATTTTATATTTTTGAAGCTCAAAATGCGATAAATTAATGTTATTGTCCATTTATAGAAACTGTCTAAACTAATAACTTTTCCAGTAGCACGTACTGGTTGTATACTACTTCCTGCATTGTCCAGCAAGTTTGGAGGATTTGTTTGCTAAAAAATGCAGGTCTGCAGCCAGGAGCGATCGATCCAGCTATTTATCAAAGTGGATTCCTATCTCAGAATAAAGGGGGAGAGGGTTCCAACAATATGTCCCCATTCAAATGAATTGATCATAAAAAAGGGGATTCCAACCCCCGGAACCCATGCCCCCTTTTGGATCTACCATTGGCAGCAAACACTTATTTTCAGTGTAAATTGTTAACATTCTTCTTGCAGCAGATATAGATTCCATCTTAAAATGTTCCGTGTTTCTTTAATCTACATTGGCTATAGGTATAGGGGAGGGTGGAGATCTCACAAAACATGTTTAACCCCGCCGCATTTTTGAGCCTGTCCCAAGTCAGGAGCCCCTGGCCTTGGTTAGTCTTGTATGTTTTTTAATTTTAGTTCATTTATATGTTTTGGAGTTTAGTGTGACGTCCATTGTCACTGAACTAGTACACAATTTTATTTAAGAGCCAGCTGAGGGCTACTTCCGGGTGCGGCATTTTCTCGTTGAGTTGAAGACCATTGGTGGCCTCCGGCTGTTGTCTGCTCTTTGATTGGGTTGTTGTCTCTGACATATTCCCCATTTCCATTCTCTTGTTGACCTTCTTTTATAACATTAATAGTTCATCGTGTGAAAAACACCAGAAATAATCTGATTTTTGACAATCATGACAATAAATCTTAATTGTTTTCAGTCATGCCTGAGGCCAAAATATCTGAAAATCTAAAACATAATTTGAACGTCGAAGAATGAAAAGTATAAAAAAAAGTGGTTCTGTTAAAACCTTTTATAAATCAATAAATGAAAATAAAGACTTTTTTTAAAGCTGAGGTCAAGTATAACCTTCTGGTGTTTTTGCAAGTATATATATCTTGTCTTGTTATGTGTTATATTTTTTTTTATTTGTGTCATAACCTGTTTGCTTATATTTAGGTTTGGATTTCATTAACAAAATAGAGAATAATTGTCTTAAAATAAATTAAAGAAATTGAAATATGCCCACAAATCATTAAAGAAATAAAAGCTTCCCCATTCAAACCCGTTTATAGATAACCTTAGCCGCATTTGGCATAACTTTTTGGAATTTTGGGTCATCAATGCTCTTCAATTTTGTACTTGTTTGGCTTTATAACTTTTTTGATCTGAGCGTCACTGATGAGTCTTATGAAGACGAAACGCGCGTCTGGCGTATTAAATTATAAGCCTGGTACCTTTGATAACTTTTATATGACAATGAAACATTATTTTTTCTGTTTATAGACATCACCATTCAGCACAACTCAACCGATTCCGTACCTTCTAGAAGGAGAGTAGCGGATTCACTCCAGGATTGCTTATTGAGACATCACCATACATGATGGAAATGAACAATCTTCCTCCAGAAGTGATTGTATGGATTTTCAGATATTTATCCACAGAAGAACTGATCCAGTCTAAAGTGATATGCAAACTATGGTATCAACTGAGCAAGTCAAAACTATTGTGGAAAAGCGTTACCGCTACATCGTATATTAATATTAAGGAGACAGCGCAAATAAACATCGTCGTGCAAAATATTTTGATAAATAGTCACCAGATTCGGAACTTAAAAATTAGTCCACTAGGGTTAAAGCTTATTTTGCGACAAAGTCGTGAAGTTAAATTTGCTAACCTTTCACATCTTGTCCTTGCTGCAGATCGAGTGTATGGCACATCTTTATTTAATTTGATCAGCGAAAGATGCCAGAATCTTAAAACTTTGAAATTTAGTTGTTTCTCTTGGAAAACATGGAAAACGACAGCTAGTTTTCTAATGAAGCTGCCACTAGAAGAGATAGACATGGCTTTTGAAGACGATGATATAGATGTGTCTGTTTTCCCGTCCTTGTCACAATTTCCCTGCATGCAAAAGTTGAATCTGTTTGCCTCGTCGGTAGATTTAGTTAAACATGTGCTCCATAATTTAAAAACAATAAGTGGTATTAGAGCGCCAAGAACTATGGTTTGTACGGACACTTTTCAAGACATGCCAGTAATTCCAGGACTCACCCTACTTCATCTTGATTATACTGAGATAGACGATGAATCTCTGTTTATTATTGCAAAATGCGCCCAGAATTTGAACTTTATTTCAATAATTGGTTGCACTGTGACGGATAAAGGCGTTTTTCAAATTACATTTTCTTGTAAAAAAATAGAGTATCTCCGAATGGGTTCCAGTGACGACAAAATGACATCAGTTTTGTCACTGGCTGCTATTTCAAGAGAGAGTAACTCTCTGAAATACATTAATGCACAAAATATCAATTTATCATCTCAGCAGTATTTAATGGATATCACAGAGTCGTGTAAATCCATTCGTTACCTCGACTTAACTGGTTGCTCTGGACTAAACGACTCAGCTTTGGAGGTTATTGCAAATAACTGTTCCAAATTAGAAAAAGGAATATTTAGTGGTTGTAATCGGATAACGTTAAATGGTGTCGTGTTTATTTTGACTAAATGCTTACGTCTTACACGTCTTATTCTAAGTCGTTGTCTTAACCTATCAGAAGTTTTAAACAAAGGAAATATTGGAGATGAGGACACATTGAGTAATTACCCTTCAAATATGAACCAAGAAGAAATGTCTTCTACACTGAGGATAAATAGTTTGCTAATGAATACAGAAATTATAAACCCAACTGATATAACAGAGACTTGTTCTTACAAAGCTGAAAGTACCAATGCTGAAACATATAAAGAAACATTTATTAATGTTATTGATATGACTGAAAAGGAAAGTTGTACAATCTCTGGTTATCAGCTGTCAACGATAGCAGAACGAAACAAATCAATAAGCAATTTGACGGAACGTCATTGTGAATTTGAACGCCATTGTGAATTAAGAGAATTGGATGTTAGTTTATGTCCGAACCTGACTGCTAGGTCTATCGTTCATATCACACAATTTTGTCCTGACTTAAGACAGCTTAACTGTTTAAATTGTGATCAGCTTGAGACGTCTGAAGCGAAGATGGTACTCCGTCAGGTATTACAGAATTGTCAGTTTCTTGAGTCCATCGGGTAGGTCAAAATGGCACAATATTGAGAAAAAACAGTAGTATACATCATAAATATAACCAGATACCAAAAACTATGCAAATGTTGTTATGAACTAGGCAGTAGTAAAATCTTAAAATATTATCTTTATCTGTACTTATTTTGATTTTGTTTTAGAGAGTTAATGCTAAACTTTATGTTGCTATATATGTGTAGTTTCAATTATGAGAACTCATTATTCTACATCATGTCGATACTGTGTATCTATAGTTTGGCACTGCGCAAGGTCATGTGTTTCTCATACTGTTTACCTATAGTTTGGCACTTCACAATGTCATGTGTTTCTCATTATGTTAACCTATAGTTTGGCACTGCACAATGTCATGTGATTCTCACACTGTTTACCTATAGTTTGGCACTGCACAAGGTCATGTGTTTATCATACTGTTTACCTATAGTTTGGCACTGCACAAGGTCATGTGTTTCTCATACTGTTTACCTATAGTTTGGCACTGCACAAGGTCATGTGTTTCTCATACTGTTTACCTATAGTTTGGCACTGCACAAGGTCATGTGTTTATCATACTGTTTACCTATAGTTTGGCACTGCACAAGATCATGTGTTTCTCATACTGTTTACCTATAGTTTGGCACTTCACAATGTCATGTGTTTCTCATTATGTTAACCTATAGTTTGGCACTGCACAATGTCATGTGATTCTCACACTGTTTACCTATAGTTTGGCACTGCACAAGGTCATGTGTTTCTCATACTGTTTACCTATAGTTTGGCACTGCACAAGGTCATGTGTTTCTCATACAGTTTACCTATAGTTTGGCACTGCACAAGGTCATGTGTTTATCATACTGTTTACCTATAGTTTGGCACTGCACAAGGTCATGTGTTTCTCATACTGTTTACCTATAGTTTGGCACTGCACAAGGTCAAGTGTTTATCATACTGTTTACCTATAGTTTGGCACTGCACAAGGTCATGTGTTTCTCATACTGTTTACCTATAGTTTGGCACTTCACAAGGTCATGTGTTTCTCATACTGTTTACCTATAGTTTGGCACTGCACAAGGTCATGTGTTTCTCATACTGTTTACTTATCGTTTGGCACTGCACAAGGTCATGTGTTTCTCATACTGTTTACCTATAGTTTGGCACTGCACAAGGTCATGTGTTTATCATACTGTTTACTTATAGTTTGGCACTGCACAAGGTCATGTGTTTCTCATACTGTTTACCTATAGTTTGGCACTGCACAAGGTCATGTGTTTCTCATACTGTTTACCTATAGTTTGGCACTGCACAAGGTCATGTGTTTCTCATACTGTTTACCTATAGTTTGGCACTGCACAAGGTCATGTGTTTCTCATACTGTTTACCTATAGTTTGGCATCGCACAAAGTCATACTTTTTTTCATACTGTTTATGATGTGTACTGATTGATACTTTTAAAGTCGTGGAGAGTTATTTATCAGTTGTAATTGGCTTTGATCGAGCTTTCAGTAACTACGAGTACTCCTTATTTCTGTACTTTGTGTCTTTTGCTTTTATGTTAGTTCTTGTTGCACATCGTATTTTTTTTTTATTTTTTTAACTTTACAGTATTCCCTTTATCTGTCTTCGGGCTATTTTGGTTTTCTTTGTGCTTATGTATATCTCTGGTATTTAAACCAACGTCCAAGGTTAGGGGGAGCGCTCACAAACATGTTTTACCACGCCACATTCTTTATGAGCCTCTCCGAAGTCCGGTCTGGCATATGTGTTTTTTCGTGAATTGTTATGTGTTTGTATGAGTATTTTTATTGTGTCAACCACCGGTCACCAAATATTTTTTTTCAAATAAAATAAACGTCTCTTCCGCCACCGGTTATCGAGTAAAAACCTATTGTGGTATGGAGGTTTGGAATAATTAATTTCTATGAGTAGCAAATTTTTTTTATCTATTACTATTTTCTGAACGGGAAAAGACTGAGGATCAAGATACCGAGGTGGTAATCAAAGCCATAAGTCAAGGGAAAACACAATGCCATTACTCAAACAAAACAATTGGTAAACTAAGGTGATTGAGAGAAAAGTAAAATCACAAAACTACTGAACTCCGAGGAAAATTCCAAACGGAAAGTCCCTAATCAAATGGCTAAATCAAAAGCGTAAACACATCAAACGAATGGATAACAACTGTCATATTCCTGACTTGGTACAGGCATTTTCCTATGTAGAAAATGATGGATTGAACCTGGTTTTATAGCTAGCTTAACCTCTCACTTGTATGACAGTCGCATATAATTCCATTATATTGACAACGATGTGTGAACAATTGAGACCACTATCCTTCAAAGTTCAAAATGCAGTGGATGTAAGCAATAATGGACAACCGAACGACCACACATGAAAAATATGAAACAATTCAATTGTAGAAACTATCGTCCTAGTATTTTATTACAAAATAATTAACGATAAACAAAAATGATAGACATGAACCAACGACAACCACTGAACTACAGGCTCCTTACTCACCTAATACATTTGTTCTAACAAATCTATTTTAAGTTTTAAACCTCGATCATTATGCCGTACACGTGTTGTGTGGTAGACTTGTTTATCTTTTAAAAGTACCATGAACATGTGTGGCATACCACATCTTATTATTATACACAAGCTAATGATCGATAGAAACCATGTAACATGTAACAGCAATGAAAACAGAACATAAACAAAGGTAATCAGTAAGTCATTAATAAAACAACAAGAAAGCCTTAGGGTGTGAAACTATGTGAGGCGAAACGGTAAGGTATCTTTTCTCCAAAAGTGGTACCGGATGTTGTCACCATGACAAATGATTTTCCGATCTACTGATTAGTTGCATTTTATGTACCATGGTCGCAAAAACAATGATTCGACAGTGGCTAAAACAAATTGAACATAACAATGATAACATGACCTTCTTTGACACAGATGTTCATAAAGGTAATCTAGATTATGATGACATCCCGTGTTTTGCAGGAGATGGTTTTGATTTTATCATTATGTACCCTTGTTTCAAATGGTCCTTGAAAGCAGTAAGTAAACGCTTAATTGAGCAAAGCAAGACATGTTATATCGTAAACGTAATAGCTCGGATATGATGACATACTATTCATGTGTTTTGAGTTGTCTGTGTACTGTCTCATTGGTGCATATCGTTTGTTTGTGTCGAAAAGCAACTCAATGCTCACGCTGGAAAGTTGCTACATAAATGGAAAATTAACAATGGGAAAACTGAAATCATATCTTTTTATAGACCTATTAAGGACTGATGATGTACTCTATAATATGTGAAATTAAAAAAATCTAGAAATCCAGACGAACCTAATTGTTCTACAAAAGAGAGGCGAAAGATGTCTGAGGGACATTAAATCTCATAATTTGAAAATAAACTAACAACGCCTTGGCTAAAAAAAGAAAAAAAAACAGACAAACAATTGTACACAAAATACAACATAAAGACTGAGCAACAAGAACCCCGCCAAAAACTGGGTTGTTCTCATATTATGCAGGTGCTCCAGAAGGGTAAGCAGATCCTGATCCACATGTGACACTCGTCGTGTTAATTGCTCATGATAGTACAAATCGGGAAATAAGTCTAATTCGGTAGATCACCTTAGGGAAAAAAGGGACAGGATTGTAGTTACGACATTAGGAACATATCCGCTATCAACTGTGAAACGGATATTCCGTAACGGTCAATCAACTCGTGATGGCGTCCGTAAAACTTCACTTGGAAACTCAATATATACATTCACGACACTTACCAAAGAGGAAATCCTGGATAATCATGAGTCTGTTCTATGTTTCTTTGGAATTTCAACCAAAGATGAAGAACTGGATCTTCCATCGCTGTATTGGATACCTAAACTACATAAGTGTCCTTGCAAACAACGGTATATTGCTGTTTCTTCCAAATGCTCCACGAAACCTCTTTCTAAATTATTAACATCTATTTTATTAGCAATCAAAGCCGGGCTTCGACGTTATTGTGAAACTGCCTATTCTAGAGGTAGCGTGAATCAGATGTGGATACTAAAAAATTCCAAAGATCTTTAAGAGTACATACAATCTAAGACTCTTTCATCTTGCAATAGTATTAAAAGATTTGACTTTCCTACACCTTACATAAGTATTCCCCATTCCAAACTAAAAGACAAATTGAAAGAGTTGGTATTGCTTTGTTTCATAAAACATAATGGCCAACTTAGATACAAGTATCTTGTCTTAGAGAGGGATAAATCCTACTTTGTAAAGAATATTTCTGATTCAAACAGAAAATTCTCTGAAACTGACATTATCAAGATGCTTGATTTCTTGGTTGACAACATATTTGTTACGTTTGGATGACGTGTTTTTCAACAGACTGTCAGCATTCCAATGGGAACCAATTGTGCCCCTCTTCGTGCCGACTTGTTTCTTTATAATTATGAGACTGACTTCATACTGAAACTTCTTAGGAACAAAGATAAGAAGTTAGCAATATCCTTTAACTTTACTTTCCGCTATACAGATGATGTTCTCTCACTAAATAATTCAAAATTTGGTGACTATGTTGAACGAATCTATCCCATCGAACTAGAGGATACAACAGATACAGTTAAGTCTGCCTCATATCTTGACTTACATCTAAAAATTGACAATGAGGGTCGGTTGAAGACAAAACTTTACGACAAAAGAGATGATTTCAGCTTCCCAATTGTGAACTTTCCATTTCTATGTAGCAACATTCCAGCAGCGCCTGCATACGGAGTATATATCTACCAATTGATACAATATTCCCGGGCTTGTATTTCCTATCATGATTTCCTTGATAGAGGGTTGCTGCTCACAAGGAAGCTATTAAACCAAGAGTTCCGAATAGCTTGTGAAGTTGAAATCATCCCTTCGTAAATTTTACGGACGCCATCACGAGTTGGTTGACCGTTATGGAATAACCGTTTCACAGATGATATCGGATATGTTCCTTATGTCGTAACTGCAATCCCCTTTCCTTTTCACGAATGTGACCTAACGAATTAGACTATTTACCGGATTTGTAATAACATGAGCAACACGACGGGTGCCACATGTGGAGCAGGATCTGCTTACTCTTCCGGAGCACCTGAGAACACCCCAAGTTTTGGTGGGGTTTGTGTTACTTAGTCTTTAGTTCTCTATGTTGTGTCTTGTGTACTATTATTTGTCTGTTTGTCTTTCCTTTTTAGCCATGGCGTTGTCAATTTATTTTCGATCTATGAGTTTGACTGTCCCTTTGGTATCTTTCGCCCCTCTTTTACGAAGGGATGATTTCAACTTCACCACTTGGAACTCTTCGTTTTATAGCTTCCTTGTGAGAAGCAACCCTCTACTAAATAAGTCATGATAGGAAGTACAAGCCCTGGAATATCGTATCAACTATGAGATATATATACTCCGTATTCAAGCGCTGTTGGAAATGTAGGATGTTGATATACATGGAAATGGAAAGTTCACAATTGGGCAGACTATTCAGTGACGCTCAATTAAAAAAGCTGAAATGCCAAATAAATACGAATTGTTACGAAATAAAACCTAACACGATTTAAATTATGCAAATGAAACTGAGGTTTGCATTTTAATCAGTCATGTTACAGACAGAGACTCCAAACTATGGAAATTTGGGACTATATTTTTAATTCTGTCATCTATTTAACATTCCTACGGATGAAATACTGCCAACTGTTGCTAAATGGGACCATCAATCGCGGTTTTTCGGAAAATAAATAACCCCAACCCCTTTTTGAACAGGAGAATAAAAATACTAAAAAAACAAATTTTTTCACAACGGCATACAATCACTGGAAAAAAGATGGGATATACCCCTGTGGTCTATCCCACACATATAAAAAAACGACAAATGAAAAACAAACAACCAAACGCACGATCATTCACTGCCATATGTCTTGTCTTGTGTGAAGATCCTGCCTTTCAAAGGCACAACTCTGGTTACAGAGTAGAATATGGTGTATTTAACACCCACTAAATGTTTATTACATTATTAAAATTTAAAACTAAAGATAATTTAGATTTTAAATAGTCACGCCTTTGACTGAGCGGTTGCAAGCAACCCTTTCCTTTTATTCACCGGCAATGTTAATAATATTGTATTACGTCTAATGTGCAAAGCAAAGCTTAGTTTTCTACTTATGTATTCTACAAGATGAAGAAAATCTGTACATCCACATTTACATTGACAGTTAAAGAGCAAGGCACTAGCATCCAATATTAGTTGTGTACTAATTTCTAGTTTTTCTAATGTTCTTCATTTCGGACAGAGCTCGCTTTTATTGATAATGTTTGAAAGTTCAAGAAGATGATAGTTTCTAGCAGAAGCTAAAGCAGGACATGAATGAATGAAATGGTCTAATGTTTCAGCGTTCTCCTCGCATAAGAGACATGTTGGGTTGATGTCAACTTGGTTGAAAGCTGCCCTATAACATTGGAGAATGTATGTACCAGTAAGGAGTCTTAGTTTGATGGGTAGACGCTGGATGTCTTTTGCAGAAGTCTGGACACTTGCTAAAGCATTGTGTAGATGACCAGTTTTATAATTAGATGTAGAAATAAATGAAATACTCTTGTAGTAGACAGACATGGTAACCACATGTTCAACCCAGAAGGTGTCAATCGCTTTCCTGATAGAGTTCTTCCATTTTAATTTTGAAGGTGGCTCATCTAAAATGTTAAAGATTGATGGTAGGCTGTATTTAATTAATAAAGATCTGATTTTTGTAAACCAACTGTCCTTTACGGCTGTTGAGATGAGGATTTGTCTTTCTGCGACTTGTCTTTCTATAAAGTTCTCTTGTCT